AAAGGACAGGCAGCAAAAGGACAGTGGGTCAAATGTAAATTGCACACGAAGAATCTATATATTTTATTAATAAATGGTTGAAATACACTTCTGATTTAATACTAGGCCAGTAAGTCTATAATGCAAATTTTATTGAGAACATTATTAAACTTATGATAATAAAAGTTAGGAAAACCAAACATTACACTAGGTGGTTTATATTTGATATTTATGTGTGACTTACTGGAAATAATTCTCCAAAATAACATCCATTTATGTATAAAATAATCAAACGTAATCGAAAAAAATAATTATAATTACATTGAAAATTTTAGCTGTAATCGATTATTTTTACGATTACAAGTAATCAAAAATCTCTTCGATTACAGATTACTGTCGATTACTTGAAAAAAGTAATCATTACAATCAATTAAGATTACTCGATTACGATTACCCCATCCCTGACAGACATGCTAAACTTTTAGTCGATCTTTTTAAATATTTCTACAGGTGGGATGTATTTTTTTAAAAATATTTCTTGTTTTTAGAACAGTCAAAAACTATTCTTTAGTTACATATTTCCATCGCAACGAAAATTGTTACATGTTTAATTATTTTTATTTGGAATTAGTGATTTTGGAGTTGAAGAGTACATGCACATTTAACACCCAATAGCAGGGCTTAGTAGATTTTATACTTGAAGTGCTTTAAAATCTTTCAAATTCCATCTCTTTTAGACATGTTAAAGGCAAGCACGACAATTAAAATCAGGAACAGCCTTTCACACATCTGCTAAAATACTTGACCCTTGTGTCCAGCGTTTTGATCCAAGTCGAGACTAAGTTGATTATATAAGTAATTGCATTGAAAATATCTTTTTGGAATTTCTCACTCCTAAAAATCTGACAGAAAAACCATTGACATAAATGTAATGAATTATTTGTAATCTCTTAGAATTATGGTCCCTATAATCCTCATGTAAAGGATTCAAGTCAAAAAATGCAGGGTTTGTTTATTTATTTCAAAAGTTTGCATAAAACAAACAAACAAACAAAGAAAAAAAGCAAACAAACTGTATCTTGTGTGTATATAAAATAATATTTGATTATACATAAACCCAATCAAATTATATTATTTAATGGTATACGGTGCCTATGTTTCAATCGAAATAGGTCAAAAACTTGCAGCTGTCCACCGGCAAGTGATGGCGTCTCCATATGAGTGAAAAATTCTCAAGAGGGACGTTAAACAACAAACAAAATCAATCAAAATATACATGTGGCCTGTTTAGCATCAGCACTATCTAGGTACCCCCCTCTCCTAAAAAAAAGATATGAAATTGAATGAGTCTGCTGTAATAACAAATTGTCTTTTAAATCAGACCATGACCATAAGGTAGGAAATAATTATAACGTTATAATATTCCAAAGGAACATTCGGCTAGAGGCCATTTTGCGCTAGCGTTGTTTTAACGTGTAAGTAAGTTATTTCCTGGCACACTTTAACGAGTAAAGCTAAGAATTGAGAAAAACAAATATCAGATTTTAGTAAGATTTTGACCAAAGGCGTTCCTGGTTCACGAGTCTCCTTAAAAAATATATTGTATAATGAAGAACATTGTAGGGCTGTGTAACTTTGTTGTTTGTGAACATAGCTTGCAGCTAAGGAATTGTAGGGAGATCATTTGGGACTTTGCTTGTGGAACAATTCAAACATTATAAATTGTGTTCGCTAGGGGTCTTGTGTCCGGAACTATGTTTTCAACGAATGGAATCCTACCAAGCCTCTGGGACCATGGTTGCACTAAACCTTAAATGTACATCAAGATTTTCCGATATTAATGAAGTGAGTTTGGGTCACACTTATCATCACTTTATATTCAATATATTCAAATTCTTTCTTAATATATTTTTGAAATTTTTTTTATTGGACCATCTGAGCCTCAGACGTCTTGATATGCAATACTTTTATACTCATTAAGAAGTGGTTGCATGAAATATATGGAGATAACGAACAGCATTCAAGCTGAAAAGTCCATTAAACAACACAAATCCAACACTATCATTCCATTGAAGACAAACAATACTATTAAAACAATGAATAGCTATCAAAATACTTATTTCAATACAGAATGAAATTGTGCTGTTAGTTTAATTACTTAAAGACACATTTAATTTACATGTTTATTACTAAGAGTTCTAATTTACTTATTTTTTTATAAAAAAGACACGTACGGGAATGCTTAATGTGTACTGTCAACATACGGGCAGCCCAAATACTTCTAATGAAGAAATTCAGAATAAAATATTAATTAATTTTTGCAACAAGTCAATAAATATGGTGGTTCAGATCCAAGGTTGAAAGGAATAATTAATTCCTTGACATATTTTATTGTAGGAATCATGTCTCCATTTTCCGTGGTAGAGAAATTCTCGTTTGGGCATTTAGTGAGAATGTTAGCCAGAATAAAACCTTAAAAGAATCTGCACTAAAATTGCAGGAACACATTCAAACTTCAGTGGATAACATCAACATTTAACATTTAAATATTGCTTTGATATTTTAAAGGATAAAAACTTGGAAGTAATCGATTATTAATCGATTACATCTTCCAAAGTAATCGATTATTAATCGATTACATTTTTCAGTAATCATGCCCATCCCTGATGTCTGTAATGACAATGAAAAAAGGGGTTATGTACTAGTCGGGGCAAAATGATTTGAAGTTGCATTTTTATCAGACTTCGATTTCATTAAGAGTTATTTACTTTTAGGATTCTTAAGATGATGAGCAGTTAATATCTTCTGTCTTCACCCTTGGTATTTGATCTTGTAACCTAAAATCAGCAATGTTATTTACTCCTTAGGGGGAACCAGCGTACTATTTTGATCTCCGTCAAGCAAAGGTTCTGAAGATAATGTGTGAAAAAGATTTCCTTACGTCTTGAGTAGTTTGACCCTTGACCTTAAAGCTCAAAATCAATAGGAGTCCTCTAATGCTTTAGGGAAACCAGTGTTCCTTTGATGACTGTCAAGTTAAGGGTTCTCAAAGAGCCAAAATCTTTTTTTATATCGGTTTGATCATTGACTTTGACGTTATAACCTCAAAATCCGTTGAGGTTATTTACCCTTAAGGGAAACCAGTGTACCAATTTGAAAGTTATTGTCTTTCAAACAAAGGTTTCTTAATATATTGAGCATTGAATATCTTCTTATGTCAAATTTTACCCCCTTTGAATCTGTGACCTAAAATTCATGGGGGTCATTAATTTTTTAAGAACTATCTATTTACCAAGTTTGATACCAGTCAAGTAAAGGGTTCTGAAGATATTGAGCGTACAATATCTTCTTATGTCTTGAGTAGTTTGACCCTTGATTTTTGACCTTGTAATCTCAAAATCAATAAAGCTCATCCACCCCTTAGAGGAAGCCACTGTAACAGGTTTGATGTCAGTCAAACAAAGAATTCTGAAGATATTGATCGAACAACACTTGGTCTATCGGCGTACTGAACGACCAACCGACACGTGCAAAACAATATAACCCTTTCCTTCGATGGGGACATAGAATTGAGTGGCAAGATATTAAATCAAAGCCTGAAATTTAATAGCACTTTATATTAACATATATTAAATAATTATTTCATTTTTGACATATTCGTGGTAACGTTTAATTACCTCTGTGATATCAGCCAGAGTGAAGACCAAATTTTGAATCTCCTGATTATGTGTACACCGATTTGCTGGTTTTAGTCTATTTGCAAAGGGATACTCTGAAATTTTGAACTAACTCATTATTTTTAACTCTTCTGACATACAAAAATAATTTATTAACTCTCCGTTTAAAAACTGTTTGATTTTATCAAAATAGATTTTTTTGGGTTTAACCTAGCATATTACCTAACAGAGGGTATTTTCAAGATACACTGTAGTTTGGATTACCTGCATTCTTAGACGCATTTGCGTAGGGGGTTAAGTACTGCATCTATAAGTGGTTTATTAGTGCTCATCAGGTGTTTGAGAGGTAGCTCTATATCAATCTTTGCTTGTTGACATGAAATCTAAAATTTATATGTTGTTTGACATATACAGTAATAAATTAAACTTTAAAAGTGATAGATCCTATCAAATATATTTTAGACAAAAAGGGGTCCATGTGCAACAACGCTACTCTCACTTAAAATTTTCTTGATATATGAATAAGGGGAAATTTGATATTACTTATTGTGGCAAAAAACTTAAATTTAATGGTTTCAACACATTTAATCTATAGATTAAAGAAGTATGATTTAAAGTTTATAAAGTGAAAATTTATTGTTCCTCTAGGAGTTAACGCATGTATATTTCCACGTGTCATATCCCATTATTTTAGTCGCAATATTGTCACGGTGCTTGAAATCTGCATTACATATGAAGCTTGAATATCAGTTTGACGTATTATTGCCTTCTTGTTATTGAGATTTTACGCATGGCGACAGACAGAAAACAAGGATAAAATTCGATCGGAAAAATTCTTTGGAGTCTTTGAAATAAATGAACTAAAATATCTAACTATTAATATGTCCAAGATCTTAAATGTTCAATGTTAATACTTGCAGACAAATCAATTTAAATAACAAGTGAAGATATTGGATATTTATAAAATACTGAAAGAGTATGCTCAGGTCATCTAACCAAAAGTGTATATCATTGTTGTCAAAGAACATACATTTATATGAAGTTTTTGCTTTTTTTTTTTTTTTTTTTTTTTTTTTTTTTTTTTTTTTGCTTCAACTTATAAATATTAATTGTAAAAAAGAATTTGTATTAGCATAATTATAAATTAGAATATATGTGTAAACCCCAAACAAATAAAATACTTTACGAGATTTAAAGAAATTGATTAACTGTAGAAGAAAACGTAACCAGTTTAGTCATCTACCAGATGCACAGACTTAATACGGTATATGTACATTTATATATGTAAATGATGTAATGAAAAGAAATCTCAATGTTGGATGATTCATAACATTGTTGATAAGATCTTTGTACTCTGTTTTATATGCGTTGAAGGCATTAAAAGCATTTTCTTAAGTTACAAATACACAATGCAAATACGGATATTTACAATTTCAAATATTACGTTTTTCGCACAATTACAAATGTCCCTTTCATGGAAAAAATTATCATTGGAATTCATCCTTTCATCATCTCTATCAACATCAGGACGCCACCTCCAAGCCCTGCCAACATTCCTAAGATGCAAAAGGCAAAAGCAAAGTGGAACTTGTAGATATCTCCAGTATTCAATTCGCTCATTTTGGCTGCATAGACGGCTATTGAAATCAAAATGAAGGCAGCTACAATGCAAAATGAAGGAATTTTTGAAAAATCTTCTTATTTTACCCATCATAATCGTTTAGGTACCAATATCTATTGGAAAGCTTGATATATAGAAAAAAAAATCTGTTATTGAGAAAATAAACCCAGTATGAATGATTTCCGCTCCTTTTCTGTTGCTTTTTCTCATAAGCCAAAAAAAAAGAATATATTCCTTGCAAAAGCTTTATTTTCAGATCTGGTTTAAAAACCAGTGTCAAAACTTTTCATTCATTGTTTCAATGTGTTATAATTAAAAATAATAATAAAAAAAATAACAGAATTAAAAAGTGATACAGCTTTATAGATTAAATATATTCTTCTCTTATTTTTCTTACCTCCGGCAAAAGCTGTAACAATTGCAACAATAAGAATTGGTTTCTGTTCATTCATGATAAAAAGTTTTAAAGCTGTAGCTACTGCAGAAACCAGGAGAGCCAGAAAACCTAGGATACTCATAGCCCTGACTGCTTCTAACCAGTCTGTAAGGATAGGATTTTTGTTATTGTTTCCTAGGCTATGTACTTTTTAGAATAATTTTCATTAGTATCTTTATTTATTTATTTTATTGACAAATAAAAGTTCAAACACATCATGCAAATTGACATTAATTACTCACTAAGGGAATTTTCTCCATGTACATAATACCTCAGGATCATTTATTCAAGTTCCATTTTCATGAATTAATCATAGTTAGACTAAAGAGTATATCAAATCATAGAGCGTGTTTAATTTATTAAAAAAAAAAAAAAAAACCTAAGTATTATACGTACCGGTTGCATTTTTTAGATCTGTGCAAGCGGAATCAACTCCTTCTACGTCAAGACAAGTCTTCCAGAGACCAGAATAAATTTTACTAGATGGTAAATCAGCAAAAATCCAGTATGGTGAGGCTAAGCCGATCACTTGAAAGACGACTGCACATGCAGTTAAAACAACTGCAAGAAGCAAAATTTTGGAGGCGTCCATATTTCCGAAATCCTAAATGCAGTAAGAAAATTTTGCTCTTATGAGTTAATAACTTGTCTTTGGATTTTTAACCTAGTATGATTGCAGAAGTTAAGTTTGTTTGTAATTAATTAAACCACTTGCATTTGATAGTTTATTACATTTTGCTAACAACCAGCGTCTTTTCTGAGTTGTTACTTAAAGCATAAGAATTTTGCAAATATCATTAAACTCGATTAAAACGAACGTATAAATACAATTCTTTAAAATACATTTATTATATCCGGCAAAATCAGTCTTCTTTTATTTTCATTTAAATGAAGAATTGAAATTTTCTTATTATACATGCATTTTTCTAAGATGTATCAATGAAATACTAGGATTTCTGACTACCTGATTTCTGTAACCTTAAAAAAAAATTTCCTTTCTTCAAAATCTTGTTCAGTCCAAATACCAGTTGTATTTCTTTAAACGTCCACACTGCTGATCATACAAGTTCTTTCTGAATTTCCTTTCTAATCATGGCGCACAAGAATTGTTTTAAAAGTTAAGAAACTGTTGTCAAGAGGAAGAATTTTGCCATGCCCAAGAAAGAGTTGATATGCTTGATCTAAATATCTTTCCATATTAGACAATTTATGTTTTTATGGCTGGGACGAAGTGTCTACTCTTTGGATTGATTTGTGGAACTCTGATGGTTATTAGCAATGAACCACAATAAATTTTACAAAGAAAACAAGTTAACGATATGGTGTTTGAGAACACAAGATTTTACTTTATATTGAAATTTTCACTGCAGTTTAATCTTTATACATTTGCATTTGCAATTGTGAATTAGTTAAATTCAAAGATAATACATTGAAACGCATTTCTTTAAATCAAAGTAGTGCTAGTAATATACATGTAATGCTAATGCATCGTGATGCATTGCTTTAAATCGGAGTAATGCTAACTAATTAATGCATAATGCCAAAAATGTGTTACATATAATAAAAGTGTAATATATTTGTTTGTTTGTTTGTTGTTTAACGTCCCTTTCGAGAATTTTTCACCACCACTTGCCGATCGAGAGCTGCAAAAGTTTAACCTATACTCGGCAATTGTAATATATTTCGTTCTAAAATACATCTAGCGTAATGCGGGGCATTTTACGGCATTACGATGTATTTAATGTTTTTACTCATTTTTCTGAATTTTCTTAATTTGAAAATGAATTCAAAATGAACCTGATATTGTTAAAATAAAAAGATTTGCAGTAAAATTAATGATTAATAGTTGAATTGAACAATATAACTTATCGAAATAAACGTTTTCTTTATTTAAGTACACTTTTATTCCGATGAAATAACTACTACTACACGTTTAGATTTTTGTACTTATATTAGCTAAACCTTTGTATCAAATGGATGTCAATATAGTTTAAAAATTTCAAAACTAATTCCATTTTGGATCAGGACATTATACAGTTAATGTGTGAAATTCTAAACTCAAGCTTAATGATAAAAAGGAGAGGTTAAAAATTATGATGGTTATGGGTGGAATGATATTGAACCTCATTCAAATTATCAGAGAGAGAATACACGATTTAACATCAAAATATATAACATAAAAATCCTTGATACTTTAACGCAGGATTGATTGATTGATTGATTGCATGTAGTTTTACCTTCTATTCGAGAATATTTTACTCTCATAGAGATATCACCATAACCATGTGAAGAGTTCCAAAAATTAGACCTTTACTCGGCACTCAGGGTCATTTAGCAGTGAGGGATCTAAAGCGAAACGTATGCAGTGACACGTGTCCTCGATTTTTAAGGCTTCAACTGATAGACCCGCAACCTTCACTTCAAAGTGCCGAGCACTTGGCGAAAGAACAGTTGCTACCTATTTTTTAATCGACTAAGGTCAGCTGTGCCTGGGGTTCGAACTCAAGACCTTCCGATCGATCACGGAGGAAGCGCTCTACCGACTGAGCTACGTGACGATGACTTTCAGCAAACAAAATGAATTTCAATTGCTTTACCTATACTGGATTCTTAAACTTTATAAAATTTCTTACAAAGATACATAGCAGGTTCCAGTAAATGTTCTACCAAGTCTCTTTATTTACTCCTCACTAAAATATAACAGCAGTGAAAGAAAAACTTCGGGAGTAGTGTAAATTGATATATTCGAGAAGTGGTGTGAGATGTGGATACTAAGAGGGTGCAAGAAACTTTTAGAAAATTTGAAATCACAAAATTTTACCAAAATCAATAACATTAAAACCTACGACTTTTCAACTATTTATACAGCCATTCCTGAAAATAAATTAAAGTTCAGACTTTCTGACATCATGGACAGTTGCTTTTTCAATAAAAATGGAACTAGTAAATTTACTTATCTTGTCTTTTTCATAATTATTTTGTTAAAAACATTCTGATTGTACACACAAGTACTCCGAAGTTGATATTTAAAAGATGCTCGAGTTGCTCTTTCACAATATCTATGTACAAATGTAGTTTTGGAGATCAAGTCTTCCAACAATCTGTCGGAATTCCCATGGGTGATAATTGCAGACCTAATTTTGTATTCATATGAAGCAGACTTTATTCAAAAACTTACACATGAGAAGAAGAAAACACTTGTTTTAGCCTTCAACTCAACATTTAGATATATCGAGAACGTATCATCAATTAATAGTTATTTTCATCCATATGTCGGTTCTATATCCCGTTGAACATGTTGAAGTTGAATTAAAAGATACCACAGAATGTGACACATCTATTTCATATCTGGATATTTTACTAGATAGAAAAAATTGTTAATGATAACCTAACAACAAAACATGATGACATTTCTTTAATCAACTTCCCTTATTTATATAGCAATATACCCATGTCACCTGCATATGGGATTTCTGTTTCCCAGTTGATTCGAAATGAAAGAGCATACTCTTCGTACTAACAATTTTTAAAACGAGGCAAGCCATTATTCCTGATAATATAAACATTGCCATTTTAAATTAACGTTCAACCCACTTATCCCTCCCTTAAATACAAAAATTTGCACAAAGACTAAATGGAAAGTTTGTAATATTTCACTTATTTGTCACTTGATTTATAGCTTTTTTTGTGTTTCCCTCTTCCACCGATCTTTAAAGCGTTTCCTACAGGGTGTCCCAAAATATATGATACCATTTGAAATACCTGCCCTAAACACATCCCTTGGCCAATTTCTTTAATATATGTCTCTAAAAATATCTGAATAAGTACAATTTTTTATCAACAAAATACTCTTTAAAAATTCTAGCACTTACGAAATTGCAACGTATCAAATTTACATCAAACTTTTGCAAAAAACTGCAATTTCAATTAAAATGGATTATCAAAAGAGCTAGCTACCCTCATTTTGAAACTGTAATTATGAATACTAGTCCTAGGTTACTGCTGCTAAACCCAAACCAGAATCCTTAACATATATAAAAGGTTTACCTCTGATGAAAATCCAGATATTACTAATGAGACAAGCAATGTTGTCTCAAGTTAAGGAACTTTGTGCAATTATCAATACACAGATAAAATGTCATTTAGATGACATCATTTAAAAAACCATAGCATTTTTCAAAGTGAACTCATTTTGTTGTTTTCTTTTTAATTACTGCCAAATTATGTGAATAAAATTGGACAGTATATGCAATGTTTATAATGTATTTGTTGTAATTCAATATTCATTACATTGGGTTTTACACACTCTTGAAATGGTATCATATATTCTGGGACACCCTGTATAAGTCGAAGTTGCATACATTAATACATGTAGATTATCAAAAATAACCTCAAGTAATTTGTTTTGCTAATAACCCATTATTGATTATAATGAATGTATAGTATAAGAATGTATGGTTCACACATGCAAGCTTATATATAGATGGAACGGCAAAAAATCTTCAAAAAAGAAGGCTTTGAATGCAGGTAACTTTGCAGCTATGAATTGATCGAAAAAGAGATTTTAAAGTTGTAATATCTCGCTTATATTGATATTGTTCTTCTACTTGCTAGCATACATGTAATAATCAAAACTTATATAATGGATATTTCATTCTAATATCTCTGGTTTTGAGTTGGTGCCCCCAGATTCTTCAAGATTCTCAGGTCTTATTAGTTGCTTGAAAAATGTATTAAATGAGCCCCCTTTCAATTCTTAAAAAAGCTTATTAAAATGTTTCCATTAAAAACATGTTTCCATTTGCTAATCAAAAGTTTGCGGAGACGTTTTCGTTTTTATTTTTATTTTCCATAAAGTAGAACGGGTACCTTTGGAGAAAACATCTGTCTTCGTAAATGCTGTTTTTAAATAAGGCTCGTTTCTTCTTATTAGCCTATGAGATAGAGTTGTAATTACTTGTTGCCATCCTTTTGAATGTCTCTATCTTAAATAAAACCTTCAAATCCCTGGATCTGCTTATGATTTTAATTGCATAACATGTAACATGTCAAATACACCCAAAAGTTTATCCTATGTCATCTTTTTGAGACATTGACTTCGTTCATTTCATCAATTATATTATGTATTCTTTCTAAATCTATAGAAGTTATTATTTGTTTATATATATACATGTAAAAAAGATTTCATTTTCTATGTACTTTAGACTATTTACCAATTCGTATGAATGACTCTAAGAATCTTACAGATGATTTTTAAAATCTTATACTCAGCATTTGATTTTCTAATAATACAAATTAATCATTCAATATATTTTCTAAATCGTACAAACGATTACCCTTTGTGTGAAACGTTTTGCAATGTGGCGCAGTTTCATCGTGCGTTAAAAGAGGATTGATGTTTTACGTGTGTACTTCAATTTTTTCACTTTTTCTATAAATGTGCTAAACAGTGTCGGATATATCAATTTCTTTTATAATCAGGTGGCTATAATCAACACTTAAACTAATTATTTTTGTGTATTTTTTTCTTGAAGATTTTTTTTTTTTTTTTTTTTTTTTTTTGGTGTGTGTGTGTGTGTGTGTTTGTGTGTGTGTTATGGAAAGAAATCATCACTTCTACGACTAAAAGGAATGAAATTTAACAAATTTACGAAGAAAGTTAATTTTGATCACAAAAGTAACCCGAATAAAATGTTATGTTCTTTACTTATTTCCAAAATCACATGATAAAAGTATTGACGCAAACACTGACAAAGTGTCAATTTTATTTCTTACAATTTTTTTCATTCTGGTTTGATTTTATCTGGATTACATATGCAATTGAAAATGTACTAAATGTAACGTTCACTGACTCATATCTGGTGCATCAAAATTGGTACCGTGTAAGATTTACATCATACAATTTGGCGATAAAGGAATACAGATTGAATTTCGACACTAGGAAAATGAATAATCTTGCGATGCAGTGACTACTCTTACAAAAGATTGGTAATTCCAGCTAAGAATCATCAATGTCTAAGAATGTTTAAAAATCTTTTGATAGTTAAGCCAATGCAAAAATTTCATGACTATCTGTTCAAGAAATTTGTTTATCGTTGTCCAACAAAGGCATTGAGACTCACAAGGGTCAATGCAAAC